AAAGATGATTCCTAAGTGAGCACCAAGGCTCAAAGTGCAGAACTACTGAGCAGCACAGCACAGTGACTCAGAGTCACCCAAGACATTAGTCAGAGCTTCTAGCAGTCTAGATGAGGGAAAAAAGAAACCACATTAAGATCCTGGGGACCTGCAAGAGGAAGCTGCAGTGTATGAGAATCTAGGGTGTGGTATGGACTTGTGAAGGAGTCAAGGGTCAGTAGCTCCAATCAGCAGCACAGGGAATATGGGACTCTTGCTTTATTAATTCAGTTACAATCCAGTGCTGTCTATGAAACCTCCATATTCGCTGGACTGAAATATGCTTTGGTGATCTCTAGGACGATATGGAATAGAACAATTCTGCTTCCCAGGCTTTGCAGCTGTTGGAACGCAGCATAGCACATTTCTCAGCATTTGTAGGGATGCTGGTGTGTACCACACACTTGGCTGTCGGCCAGATAAAAGTACAGCACATGAGTCACAGGCAGCACACCATACTTGATAAGGTCAGGGAATGATGATGTTATCAGTGAAATATTTACCATGCTGGACTTTCTGTTGTGATTTCAGAGCATGTTCCTCTATTTGTGGAAAGAAGAGTGGACCGTGAACTAGTATGCTGGGTTTTCACAGCAGCTGCCTCACACATCTGGTGTTTACCTTGTCTCTTTTTTTTTTTTTTTTTTTTGGTTTTTCGAGACAGGGTTTCTCTGTGTAGCTTTGCGCCTTTCCTGGAGCTCACTTGGTAGCCCAGGCTGGCCTCGAACTCACAGAGATCCGCCTGCCTCCGCCTCCCGAGTGCTGGGATTAAAGGCGTGCGCCACCAACGCCCGGCAAATGATTTTTTTTTTTTTTTTTTGGTTTACCTTGTCTCTTTTTAAAAATAAGATAATTTTTTTATGTGTGTATATGTGTGAATCTGTGTGTGTGTGTGTGTGTGTGTGTGTGTGTGCACGCGTATGCCATACATGTGTGGGTGCATGCTGAGGCCAACAGAGGGCATTGGGTCTCCTGGATCGTAGTTTCAGGTGGTTGTGGGCTACCCAGGGGCCGGGAACTGCACTCCAGTCCTCTGGAAGAGCAGGATGCACTCTTAACCTTGGAGCCAATTCCAGTCCCTAATTTGTCTCTTGATCACATCATTTTTTCTTTTTCGTGTTTGACTTAATCATACGTTGTTTTACTCATCCAAGTTCTAGAAAGAGTAAGCTAGTAAACATTTATATGTGTCTCCATCTGTCTGGCTAGTAAACATTTCTATGTGTCTTTATCTGTCTGCCTGGTAGCCTGGGTGTCCACAAGCTATTCGATCCAGGTCTGCATAGCCTGCATGCTCTGTGATGTGTGCATAGTGATGGAACTATCTCTCTGAGGACACACTTCTCAGAGCATGTCCATGTCATCAGCAATATATGACTCTGTCACATAAAAGACTGCCAAAGGCTCCCTTCGCACAGGAAGGCCAAACTGAGAGACAGGCACGCGAATATGAACAGGACCCATTCCCTGGAGGTCAAAGTCTCATGAGTGACAAATAGCACAGGATCACGGTCCCATCCCTCTGCCAATGTGAGGCGTGTGTGTGCGTGTCCTTTCTTTTAGGAAGTGACAGTGATGGGAGATGGTTACACCTTACATTTTTCTAACATTTACTGAGCAACTTAAAAAACTCTGGCAGCACCAGGTGGTGGTGGTGGTGGTGGTGATGGTGGCGGCGGCGGCGGCGGCGGCGGCGGTGCATGCCTTTAATCTCAGCACTTGGGAGGCAGAGACAGGCAGATCTCTGTGAGTTTGAGGCCAGCCTAGTCTACAGAGCGACATCCAGGACAGGCACCGAAACTACACGGAGAAAATTGTCTCAAAAAACAAAACAAAACAAAAAAACCCACCAAAACTCTGGCAGCTATATATTGGTTTAACAAATTTATGGAAATACTACTTTTTATCTGAAAACTCTATTCCAATGGTTCTCAACCTCCCTAATGCTACAACCCTTTAATATAGTTCCTCATGTGGTGGTGACCCCCAACCATAAAATTATTTTCGTTGCTACTTCATAACTGTAAATTTGCTACTGTTATGAATCATAATGTAAAGATCTGTGTTTTCTGATGGTCTTAGGTGACCCTGTAAAAGGGTCATTTGATCACCCCTCCCCAGGGGTTGTGACCCACATGTTGAGAACTGCTCCTCTATTTCCTTAGTCTTAGAACCTGAGCATAGAAGTGAAACAAGATCATTTTTAGGGCCGGGTGGTGGTGGCACATGCCTTTAATTCTAGCACTTGGGAGTCAGAGGCAGGTGGATCTCTGTGAGTTTGAAGCCAGCATGGTCTACAGAGTGAGTTCCAGGACAGCTAGAACTATACAGAGAAACCCTGTCTCAAAAAAACAAAACAAAACAAAACAAAACAAAACAAACAAACAAAAAAAACCAAAACAAAACAGAAGTCCCTCAAGATCATTGTAAGGAGACAAAATTGAGCAACATGATTCTCACGTTAAGACAGATACGACAGCGACACAGGGGGAGTTATGAAGAGCTGGGTCCACAAGTCTCCAACATGGCAGCTTCCTGTGACTTGTCCAGGTCAGAGGTTAAAAAGTTGGGCTTTATTCCTAACAAGGCTGAAAGGGGGGTCTTACTCAGTCTGAGGCCAGAAGCCTTGTTCACGAGACACATTTTTTTGCTCATGGCTTTCTGTAGTTTGCAAGGATAGAAGTCAAGAAAGAAATCATCGATCTCTTCCTGGGGTCATGTCTATTAGTGGGAAATTGATTCTGGGCTGCCTCAGTGTACCTCTTTGGGCCAGCGGGTATCAGTCACATACTAGCAAGAATAATACTTATCAAGGAGCCAACTGTATGCCAGGCACTATCCTGAGGGCTTTGGGTATCTAACTTATTTGTCCGACTGCAACTCCACGGGGCTGGGTGCCACTGTTTCGCTTTTTATTTTCTGCTGAAATACTTTGCCCCAAGTCTCATGCAGCTGCCCACTGCCAAACTCGAGTCACTCAAAAAAAGTTATTTTTGCACATTCTACTTGAAGCTACATCATTACTTCGCCACTCCACTGATACAATAGTTAGATTTCCATTTTAAATTCTGCCTGGACAGTAGTGGCGCATGCCTTTAATCCCAGCACTCAGGGGGCAGAGGCAGGAGGATCTCTGTGAGTTTGAGGCCAGCCTGGTCTACAAAGTGAGTTCCTGGATAGTTGGGATACACAGAGAAACCCTGTCTCAAAAACACCTGAACAAAAATAAAAAATTTAAAAAAAATTAAAAAAAAGAAAAAGAAAGAAGAAATTCCTTACGTAACAATGTGTGACAATACCATGTCTCCAAGGACACTAACATGGGAAGACAAAACACATATTGCACACCAACTTCCAGGGCAAACAGATGTGAATTTCACTGCGATCACGAGCTATGCTAGAGATCCCAGCTGCTGCCATTTTCTGCTTTGGCATGTAGGTTAATAGAAGTTATATAATGCAGGTAGACCTCAAACTCATGATCCCCCTGCCTCAACTTTGTAATAACCATAAGGATGACCACATGCTTTAAGAGCCAGGCCTTGGTCACACTTCTGAAAACAATTATTTTATTTTTTCTCATCCAACCACAGCTTTATTGTGAGCTTGACCTTCACAGAGAATGTTCCAGTGACGAGTGTACTTAGAATCAACTCATTAAAATGTTTGAATACGACACTACGGAGCTGGGTTGTTCCAAATCCCAGAATGCTTTTAAACAGGTAACTGATGTCATTATTGGTCATGAAATAAACAGAATGACAGTATGTTTAAACTCGAGTCCCAGGCTACTGTCACCATTTGCTTTTGTATTTCAGGGAGCAAAGTGGTGTGTGTGTGTGTGTGTGTGTGTGTGTGTGTGTGTGTGTGTGTGTGTGTGTGTGTCTTGACACAGGGATTTTTTTACTTTGCAAGGAAACCGACGGCTGCTGTCCTATTACTTGAGAGCCATCAGTGAAGGTATGCATACCATACTCATTTATTCCAAAAGGCTCCAGAGAAGATAGTTTAAGCCTCTTCATGAGGCAAACCACCTGGAATCTATGGGTGAGAGCCAACACTGGTCTGTGCTTGATCTCATACAACATGAAAACATCATTTCCTTGGAACACAAATTTATCGATCCCACAGGAAACAGGAGGATGAGGAAAGTCATCGCTGAATCTCAGTACCCTAATTACAGGGCAGTTGTATGATCAGGGGTATGTGGTCAGCTCTCATTTTTGTGACCTAATCAGTCTGTTTTCATTTTCACTATCTGCCAATCAGAACACATTGAAGTCACTGCTGGTTTAAGCCCAGAAGCATTCCAAGACAGCAGAAAAAGGAGGAAGAAAGAACCTGCCTGAGACCACTATTAGCTTCATTATGCCCAATTCCAAAGTGCACTAGGCTCAGGGAACCAGTAGGAAACAGGCTTTACTTTATTTTAAATTAGGCGTATGTGTGTGTATATCTCCATGCATATGCATGCAAGTGCTTGAGGAGGCCAGCAGATGGCATCAGATCCTCTGGAGCTGGAGTTAACAGGCAGTTGTGAGCTGCCAAGTGCTTACTGGGAACTGAACTCAGGTCTTCTGGAAGAGCAGCCAGTGTTCTTAGCCACTGAACCATCTCTATAGTACTACAAATTTTGATATTAAAAAAATTATTTGGGAAGTCTTGCTTCAAAATTAAAATATAATAATGAGTATCTAGGTACATTATAATTCACAAATGTGCCTTTAAGTCTATGTGGAAATGAAAAACGAAGAAAGAAAAGTCAGGACAAGTGAGTGAGAGGTATTCTGATTCTTCCATGAAACAATGTTACTGAACACACCTCCTTTACAAAGTTAACTTTTGGAGCCAAAAGCCACACTTGTTCCCTGCTTTAGGAAACCTCAGAGCCACGGGGAGGGCAGCCCAGCCAAGAATGCAATCATGCTTCAGGGAGGCCTGTCTTCAGGGGGGCAACTTACTATTGTGCACAGTCAATCAGCTGGTACTCGTTGGATCTCTCAAAGCAGGCCTTCACCCCCTCATCGTCCCACAGCTTCTTCACGTGATCAAAGAACTCCTGGGGTTGGGGAGAGCGACAAGAAAGCACACGTCAGGATACCTTACACAGTGAAAAGTGAAAACTGCCAGGCAGAGGCTGCAAGGAGGGGGAGGAGAATTCTTTTAGTGCGGAAGACCATGCTCTAGCTGCCTGCCCTGTGCACCGATGGTTCAGCATGATGCAAGGCAGGCGACTCGGCTCTCCGCACCCATGCAAGCTACAGAACCTCCCTGCTGCTCACAAAGCTCACCAGAACGAAACCTGTAAGTCGAAAATTAATGCCAGTCATTAATTGTAAAACAAGGACACCACTGTGCAGTTCTTAGCATTCAGTACGTTTGGAAGCTAAGCAGCCACCTTGACCATGGAAGACACGGAGAGTGTAAGGTCCATCTCAGCAGCTGTCTTTTGACTTTTTTTAAAAAAAGATTTATTTATTTATTATGAATACAGTATTCTGCCTGCCCGTATGCCTAAATGCCAGAAGAAGGCACCAGATCTCATTACAGATGGTTGTAAGCCACCATGTGGTTGCTGGGAATTGAACTCAGGACCTCTCGAAGAGCAGCCAGTGCTCTTAACCTCTAAGCCATCTCTCCAGCCCGTCTTTTGACTTTTTAATGTGAGGTAAGAATCGAATGGAGGGCTGGAGAGATGGTTCAGTGGTTAAGAGCATTTGCTGTGTTTTGCAGAGGACCCTGGGTTTGATTCTCAGCATCCAAATGGGAGCTCACAACCATCTATAATTCTAATCCAAGGGGATCCAATGCCCTCTTTTGGCCTACTTGGGCACTAGACACACATGAGGCAAAACACCCATACACATAAAAAATGGACATACCAAAGTAGATAGATTAAATTGGCTCATTAACATACAAAATCTGCCATAGGGTCTCAGGTAGCCCAGCCTAGCCTCGAACATATGATCCTCCTGCTTCAGCCTTCAGTACCATGCCTGCTCAGTGATGGACAGCTTTACTATGAGGGTTTTATTTGCGTGTGTGTGTGTTTAAAGCAAACCATGAGTTAAATACGAACTGTGAGTTTTGGTTCACCCAAGAGTCATAAGGCTACCACGCTCGCCCATTATGGCGGCAGGACCCACTGGAAGAACTTGCCTTACTCTACAGTCACACCACTAGCTCTGAGGTACTTGATCCCTCTCCAGGTGAGTGACTTCACGTCAAACAGATTGGGCTGGGTTTGAATATAGGAACCGTTGACACTATAAAAGTCCACATGGTTTCTATTGGCGGTTTAAGAAGTACCCAGGATGAGTCTAAACCCGGTCAGTACGTGTGAAGGGCAGCAGACCCCTAGCTGGTTTCTTGGGTTAGGAATAGACAACACAAACCAGGGAGGAAAACGCCAGCGGGTGCAGGCTCCTCCTCTCTCTGGGATGCTCTCTCAAGCTTCTCCAGTCCTTGTCAGAGTCCGGAGAGCTGTCCCCACTCCCATGCTGTATAGTGAGTGGGTCGATGTGGTGGTCACAGCAGCTGGTGACAGAAGAGACCCCACACAGGTCAGACCCTGAACTAACTGGGATGAGGCTAGGGGACAGGAAGAGATGAGGCCCCCCTGGAGAGCAGGCCATGGAAAACTCGTCACAGGGACTGGGTCCAGAGGAAGTGCAGAAGTGCTGTGGTGCCCTGCAGGACCTTCTACCAGGTGGCGGGCGGGGAGAGGTAGGCACCCAGATTGGAACTCACTGCTGTCTGGTCACTGACAGCAGGTCAGGTGCCTGCTGGGTGGGGTGGGGGTAACAGGACAGGGTCATGGGTGCTTGTATCATTCAGACCCATGGCCCTCACGATGCCTGTGGGGTACACCCGTGGGCTCCCTCCTGCATCAATATCTGTGTCCCAGCTCTCCAGCTCTATTGGAAAATATTTGGAAATGGACAACTAGGAGAAAGGTGACTGTGACATTTCTTAATTTTTATTTTTATTTATTTATTTAAAAGATTTATTTATTATGTGTACAGTGTTCTGTCTGCATGTATTCCTACATGCCATTAGAGGGCACCAGATCTCATTACAGATGGTTGTGAGCCACCATGTAGTTGCTGGGAGTTGAACTCAGGACCTCTGGAAGAGTAGTCAGTGTTCTTAACCCCTGAGCCATCTCTCCAACCCCTTAATTTTTATTTTTACATTACTGAATGAGAAGCATCTTGAGATCTTTGTGCATTTAAGCAACCAAAATGCACAGATACTTCTGACTCTTCAAAGGGGCTGAGTTGTATTATGTAAGGGAAACATAGCACCACATTTAAAACTACTCTTCAAAACAAGGTTCTAAAGTCTCGAAAGCATACTTTTGTATTCTTTGCATGTAAATGTATGTGTGGTGTGTGCATGTGTGTGTGCACTCATGTTTGCACATGTGGGCATCTGTGTGTGTTCATGTATCCAAGTGCATGTAGACATCTGAGGCTGACGCTGGGGGTCTTCCTTGGTGGCTCCTGGCCTTATTTGTTGAAGCAGGGTCTTTCAAATGAACCCAGAGCTCACTGAAATGGATACTTTGGCTAACCAGCTTTCTCCATCTGGGAGGCCTGTCCTCTGCCTTCTGAGTGCTGGTGTGACGGCTGAGAGCTGAGAGCTGCCATACCTACCTGGCATTTATGTGGGTGTTGGGGATCTGAACTCAGGTTATCACACTTGCCAAGTAAGCACTTTATCTGCTGAGCCATCTCCCCAGGGACCATAACTTTAAGTAAGATTTAAAGTAAAATAAAAAAAAAGTAGTACCTGACCACTGCCCGATGTTTTCACAACCTTTCTCTTCCACTGTCCCCCATGACTTGATATTGATAGTATATTAAAAAATAGCTTGAAATTCTCAGATGATAACCTGTTTTTGTTTCTGCTATCAGATCCTCCCTAACTCTTTTTAAAAAGAAAATAAATGGATGACAACAAGAAACATAAGAATACTATTTCCTATATAATTTCTATGCTAACATACACACCTCACTTCTGGGTTATACACACTTGGGGCATAGTTTCCATTTTGAAGTGCACACTGAAGTAATCTCTCTAATTTCCTGAGACATGGGATGTGCAGGTGGCCCTTGCACACTGGAGGGTGTGGCTGGCCAGCTCTTCCTAGTGGCAGTGGTTCCCAGCCAGCTCTGCTCCCTGCACTTGTGGAACTCGTCACTGGGTAGTGAGAAAATATTACTCCTTATGGTCATTGCATGATATTCTTTCAAAGATGACAAACAGAAAATGCCTCTAGCATTAGTGTCAGGAACCTTACTGCAAAAACAAGTTATTTATGCCTATTATTATTTTTAATTTTCAGACCCTCACTGGATGACACTGGTGATTCCTCCTCCTCTTCTTGAGATACGATCTCATGTAAGCCCACAGTAGCCTTGAATTTACTATGTGGCAAGGGGTGACCTTGACTTGTGTTTCTCAGTCCTCCTGCCTCCAATCTTGAGTGCTGGGATTACAGGCATGTGCCACCTTGCCAGGTTTATGCACTGCTCAGGACTGAATGCCAGGCTTCATGCACACTGGCAAACCATTCTACCAACTAAGTTACAGCTCCCAACCCGCCTCTAGGTGATGTATAATGTTAATATCATGTAGAACTGTGTAAATAGTTGCTATACTGTATCCTTAGGGAGTAAGGACAGAAGAAAGTTTGTGCCTGTTTAGAACCCTCCCAGATTCCCCCTCAAATATTTATGATTCTTGATTGGTTGACTTCTTAGATATAGAATCTATCAATATGGAGAGTCAACTGTAGGTTGATTAACTTACAATTATTGATTGTAAGTTAATCTAAAATTCTACTTAGAAACAGCTTTCAGAATCTATGCTAGGAAACATCCTACCAACCCAAACATCTAAACCACTGAGCAGTCCCAGGGCTACCAAAGACAGTATCAAAAATAACACAGTAAAAGGAGGTCACACCTCACACCCACTGGAGTACATGAAGCCTGGCATTCGGTCCTGTGCAGTGCATAGACCCGGCATGGTGGCACACACCTATAATCTTTGTGCTCCAAGAACATTCTGGGGGGGGGGGTGTCTCAGACACCAGGTCTTTTCTGTGTCTCAAATAATGTATGAAATAGGTGATTCAGCTCCATATTCCAGATGTTACAGCAAGAACCACCGAGTATATTTCATTTTCTTCACATCCACCTAACTGGAAAAAGGCCAAGTCTGAACTCCAAGCTTGCTGGGAGCCCACCTCTCATCCTTTCCTCTGGCCCACAGCAGCTCCCTGGGCCCAGGAAAGCAGTGTGGGCATTGGGGACATCGTGTACACACCTGTCTGTTTTTGCCTATATTATAGGCTTATTATCCTCATTATTCATTTAAAAACAACTTTTGGGGCATATTTTATATGCCACAAACTTCCCCCTTCTATACCATCATGAAGCCACTATCACCTCGGAAGACATTCACCTTCCTTCTGGGTCGGGACCCACCGCTACCCCAGGGCCAGATGACTGCCAACTTCGGCTGTCACTGTGCTTTGCCTTTCCTGAAAATTTCATACAAATGAAATCATATACTGTTTTGTATTTGGCTTCTTTCTCACTTAGCATAATACATTTTAGATCCGCTCACTTTGTTATGCATATTACCAGTGTGTTTTATTAATTTTTTCTTTTTCTTTCTTCCTTTTGCTTGTGACTGAACCCAGGCCTTACATAGGTTAAGAAACTGGTCTACCACTGAGCTACGAGCTACTCCTCTGCCTTTGTTCTTTTACATTGCAGAGCTCTAACCCATTTTATAAGTACCCTATATTTTGTTCATTCACTCACCAGTTGATAGCTATTTGGTTGTTTCTAGTTTAACCTGATTTATTATTATTATTATTATTAATTATTAATTATTACGTGTGTGTGAGTGTGGACATGAGCATACTGGGTGCTGTATGTAGAAGTCAGAGAACACCTTTTGGGGCTGGTTCTCTCCCTCCACTGTGGGTTCTGGGGATCGAACTCAGGTTATTGGGCTTGTGAGGCAAGCACCTTTGTCCAC